CATCATTAGTTCTAGATAAATAAACCATTATTTTTTTAATATCAGACCTACAAAGCACTATTTCATTACATTTTAGGGGAGAATTGCTATATCAACTGATTTCATACCACCAATATAAAATTGAATTTTAATCATTTAAACCCAACTAAAAGGTTGCTTTTGGAGAAGAATTAAGTTATTGATCCTTAACATAAGCCTTAAGCTGAGTTCTGGTTTTAGAGAGAAGAGTGAGGTATTGCTTTCCTATTTCTGACAAAATGAATTTGTCCCTCTTCTGCCACGCTAGTCCCAGTTTTTCTCCCTGTGCACCATGATCTCCCTAGCAGGATGGACAGTGAATAGGTCCAAAGGTTTTTTACCACAGGCATATATCCATTTCTGGTCAGTGACTACTTTAGCTGAGCCAGCAATGAATGATCTCCCCCTTTCATCATTTATTTAAGGCCTGCGTGGTAACCAGGTCTGCACTAACTGTGAGGCAAAAGCTAATAGGGCCCCCACTCTCATGGAGCTTATAGTCAAATGGAGACAAGACATGTTAATCAAACAATCACACACATAAAGGTAATCCAATGTGATAAGTGTGAAGAAAGTGGGCCCTTGATTCAATGAGAACATTGCTGGAAAATTTGACCTCACTGAGGCCAGCTGAGACTTCCTAAAGAAGTGAGGATGGTGCCAAGATTTGGAGACCACGGTCCTGAACCACAAGGTCAAGCAGAAGGCAGAAATAGAATTCTAGGCAATTGGGGCTTGACCTCCTTCTCCTTCTCTACTCTCAGAAATTTTACTTTTATTATTTGGGTAATTGAAGCAAGAGATTCTGAAGTCACTGTTGAGAACTTTCCTCAGTATTTAGAGCCTGAGCAATTCTTCACCCACATGTGTTTGCTTGCAAAAAGCAGCAAGGCTGTGAACATATAATGGATGACATTCAAGCATAGGACACAAAGGTCACAGTTAGTTATCGCATTTCTGTGTTTGCCCTTTAGATGAGGTTCAACGCGCTCAGTTTGTTTTAGGGCAATTTCTGTTCTAGTCCATGAACACACAAATGCCACGGGGAGCCAGTGGTCTCTGCAGCACCCTACTGCACTCCTGCTTAGCTGAAATAATCCTTAGTTCCCTGGCCTCTGGTCACATGTGACATGCTGCTTAGTTGCCATGGCTCTTTCGTAGCCTTTTTAACCGCGCTCCACCCCAAAAGTGATCTGACGGTACCATGGCATCGTGGAGTAACGCCATAGCTAATTCTTTGTGCTTCGCTGTGTTATTGATTTTTCAGTATTATGCAGGTTGAGTTTGCTTAAGGAAACACTGTGTCCATGCTTGAGTCAACACAAACAGTTAGGAGAGAAGCAAATGGATTGTTAGAATCCGAGTACACACAGGGCTAATGTGGCCACCATGTTTTCCTTTCTTATATACCTAGCTCCCTGATGTCCAAGGCAGGCAGCAGACATCATCAGTGACTGACCTTTCCAAGCACGCCTTTAAAGGATTGAGCAGAGCCTATCTCCTCAATGAGCTGGAAATAATAAAAGGCGTAGAGCTAGAGCTTCTGGAATAGAGAGGACATTGGGAGCTTAGATGTGTCACTAGATGGCAGTGTTTCTGAAGTTCCTTCTGAAGAGGCCATATTTGGTGTTTTAATTACTGTTTTATCGAAAAGTCAGAGTAATAAATAATAGCTAATATTTATCAATGTTTTATTATGTACCAAGAGACACAGCAAATGTTATGTTCACATCAACATAATAAGATCGGCGAAATAATTCTCTCTTTTTACAGATGAAAAAGGGAGGTTTAAAATAGTTAAATAGTAACAGTGGGAATCAGGAACCTAGCTAAGTATTTCTCAGGTCTGACATAGTTTGGCTCCAGTCGCCCTCTCCTGTAGGTGCTAATGTCACCCTCACTTTCTTTTTTTTTTTTTTTTTAAAGATTTTATTTTTATTTATTTCAGAGAGAGAGAGAATGAGAGACAGAGAGCATGAGAGGGAGGAGGGTCAGAGGGAGAAGCAGACTCCCTCCCGAGCAGGGAGCCCGATGCGGGACTCGATCCCGGGACTCCAGGATCATGACCTGAGCCGAAGGCAGTCGCTTAACCAACTGAGCCACCCAGGCGCCCCACACCCTCACTTTCAGGAAGAGGAAACTAAGGGAAAAAGATGCTACTACATGATCAAGATCACACAGCTATTATCCTGAGGAACCAGGATCCAAACTAGGTGGCTCTAATTAACTCCAGAGCCTATATTTTTAAACACTCCTTCTCCCATTTTGGCTGGAAAAGAAAAGGATTAAATATACACATTTGGATCATTACTTCTAATATGGATAACCATAAGAAATACGTTACTAAAAGGGTTCCTATATGTGTGAGCCCAGTAAACTGAACTAGTAGAATAGTGTTAATGGGGGCAGGCAACAGCCGTTTGCTGCAGGCCAAGATTATTCTTCCTGAAGAAGAGTAATTCATAGGGCATATATGTGTATCTCAATGTTGTAGGGATGGAGTGATTTTATGGGCCATAATGCCTTAGGAAAAAAGAATGATTTTTTTTTTTTTTCATCATCAGAAGGCCATGACAAATACATAAAGTGCTGGGAGAAAACCAGAAAACTTTTTTTTTTTTTTAAGTAGTTTGTCTGTTGAATTTAGCTACTAGTTCTTTTCAATAATTTTTGACAAGTGAGACTGCAACTGAAATCTTTACCTTCTTGTCCTCTTAAAGATCCTTTACTTACCAGCTCTAGTCTAATCTGCTGCCTTGTTATCTGCTCTTCCTTCCTGTTATCCCCTCCAACTAACTCCCCCAAATGCAAATGGATTCTCCCCCTTTCCAGACATGTGTTTCCAAACTGTAAGTCCTACCTGTTTATAGCTATGGAATATACCATGGAATAGCCTCATACTCAGAACCCTTAAAGCTTTCCCAAGCTCCCCGAAGGGTTTCTTGCAAGTAATTAGAGGACAGAGGTTTCCAAGGCTAGCCCCCAACATCCTTCCCACATGTTGCTCCTAAATTACACCCAATGCATTGCTTCTGTATAGCCTAAGTGTACATATGCATGTTTGGAAAAGCGTGGTGAATCATCTTATCTTGGTGAAATGTAATTTTTATTTTTATAAAATAATTATATGCACCTAGTGAAAAAAATTCCAGCAACATAGAGGACTAGAACACGGAGAAGTACATATTAACATGTAACAATTTTAAATTAAAATTACTCATTTTAGCTTGTAGCAATTCTGGTGATTATCTCTGTGATGCCGAATAATATGTAGACATCTTTAATTCTTGATTAAAAAATTATCAGCAGCCTCTCTTGTCTCACTGATATGAAAGGAGAATTAACTCCACTACCCCCCCTTCTCTGCTCACCCTAAGTTCTAATGGACACCAGCAGTTTTGATTCTTCTGGTGGTTACCTTTCTCACTCTAAGCAATACATGTAAACATCTCTTCCTTCATTTGCCAAAATCTGACTCATTGATTTAAAATGATCCTTGTACTTTCTCCCACCTGCTTGTTAATTCTCTGACTCTTGTTTCTTAGCACGATGTTTTTATTTTCTGTATTAAAATAGGCCATTCCAGACAGCTAGTCATTCAGATTTTCTACCTTTTTTTTTTTTTCCCTCTGTATTTTGGGAGGTTTCTGCAAGGGCATCGCCCAGCACTTCCATTGATTTCTTTTTTTCATTTTGGAAATCATATTTTTTAATTACCAAGAAATATATTTTTCTGTGATTGTTCCTTTTCAAAGCAGCCTGTACTGTAGTTTGTTTTATGGTTTCAATATCTTCTCATGTTTCTCTGAGGATATAAACAATAAATTTTCAAGTTCCCTTCTATCCCCTGAATTACATGTTTTCACTGGAGCTAATTGTTCTATTCATCTTGGTTCTTTTCATTTGTGCAAATATATTCTCTCAAATATCTGCTGATTCTTTTTTTGCCTGATATTATTTGTGAATGAAGGTCAGGCTGGTTTATATAGCAGTGGTTTAAAATACTCTGTGCTGAGAAAAAGTTGTAAGGCAGAGTTCTTATACATTGGTACGGACCTCCACAGGGAAGTTTAACAATATATATCAGCAATATTAAAGTTGTTCACAGCCATTAACACACGGGCCTACTTCCAGGAATCTACCTTTGGGAAATGGCCAGATTCTGCAAAAGATGTTCTCATAAATATAAATGAATAGAGGGCTGCTTAAATACATCTGTGGAAAACTATGCAGCATTAAAGTTGATGCACAGGATACATTTTTAGTAACGTAGGAATGTTATATATATGTATATGTGCCTATGTACATGTGCATTGCTTATTTTCCTGTTCATCTTTGCAAAATTGCGTGTGTATGTGTGTGTGTGTCTGTATATGTGTCCGTGCATGCATGTGACTCCTCCTGTGTGTCTTAACGTTTACCCCGAATGTGTCCCACTGGCTTTGTTCTGGGAACCCTAAATCTTGGCTGCAGCCCTATCACCTCTTCTTGAGGGCATGGTTCACCTGCTCCTTTCTCCAGGGCCTTCCCTCTGCCACCTGTCTGCACTCACTCTGCCTGGTGGAAGCCTGGCAACTGGCAAAAACTAGAGTTGGGGAAAGAGTTGACAAAGCTGGAAGGGAAAGAGGACCTTTGAAGTCAGGCCCCACTTACTACAGACAGTGAAAGTTCGCTAAAGTTTTTCCACATGGCATTAATGCGATAAACGTGGCAGTTTTCGGCAAGTTGATGGATGGAGGGCATTGTGTAAAATAACTAAGTAGGAAGAGATGAAAGAGTGGAAGAAAAATGAAGGCACTGTTCGGGCCCTCCAGGTGTGAAGCAGACAGTGCCGGAACAGGATTGAAAGAAATGTCAGCTAGAGAGGGAGGCAGGGATAGAAGAGAGATGGAGAAAAGCTTTGAGAACTTGGTTAACGCGTGAGTCAAAGATGATCCAAGGTCTTTAAAAACCATAGTCTGACACACACCTGTTCCTTGCAGCATTATTCACAATAATGCCGAGGGGTAGAAGCAAGCCGAACGCCCATCAATGAAGGACTGGATAAACAAAATGTGGTATGTAGATAAAATGGAATATTATTCAGTCTTAAAAAGGAAGTAAATTCTTTAATATGCTACAGCATGGATGAACCTTGAGGACATTACACCAAGGGAGGTAAGCCAGTCACAAAAGGACGAATACTGCATGATTCTACTTACGTGAATTACCTAGAGTAACCAAATGCTTAGAAACAGAAGTAGAATTGTGCTTGCCAGGAGCTGGGAGGGGGGAAAAGGGCAGTTGTCTACCGGATATAGAGTCTCAGGTTTACAAGATGAAAAAGTTCTAGAGATCTGCTGCATGGTAAGATTTATACGGGAAACACGACCATACTGTATACTTAAAAATGTTTAGTATAAGATCAAATAAATCTTTCACCTTTTACTAAAAAAATGGTTAAGATGGTAAACTGTATGTTATGTGTTTTTTTATACGATAAAAATAATTGTATTCTGAACTATTTCAGACTTACAAAAAAGGAATTAAAATTAACTGCAAACATCAGGTACTCTTCATCCAGAAATGTAAACATTACCAATACAGTTGAAGCCTTTGAATAATTCCCCGAAGTTTTAAAACTTTTCTTTATTCAACAATTGCTTTTTGAATGCCTATTACTTGCAGAGCTCCCTGCTAGGCTTAGGAGACACAACAGTGCACTTCTCTGTTCTTCCCTGAAGGAGACTCAAGTGGCATAGAGAAGGGTCACCCTCCTTACAGATGTAGAGAAAATTGTTTGGAAGGTGATGATGCATTTTGCAATTCACATTGTTATACTTGGGGTGACAACTGAATTGTTCATATTTAGCTACCCTCTAGGAAATCTATAAATTCCTAGACTAGAATCTTCTTCATTTATGAATTATACTCTGAATGAATTATAGTAGGTTTTTTTTTTTTTTTTTTTAGTGTCCTTACTTGGCAACATAAAGGCTAGAAATACATTATTTGAAGGTTTATAGGCCCAGACTTTCATAAAGCCTAAGAATTCCAGTTTCCCTAACTCTCAGACTCTTCTCCAACTGTCAAATTATGTCAGATTTTTCAAGTTCTCTTGTTAAAAGATAAGAAGGAAAAGTCCATTTGAATAATTTCAAGAATTTTTGCAGGCATTGATTTTAACTTTCTGCCTAATTTGGATATTCTGTCTTTCCTAAGAGGATGCCGAGGGAATGCCCTAATATGATAGGATGAATCAGGAGACACAGAATCAAATCCCCAGCTGTGCAACTAACTAGAGGTATTTGATTATTCTGCTTCTTAGTTTTATAGTCCAAACAACAAAGAAATGAGCAAGTAGTAAGATCCATTTCAAGAATAAAATTCAATTTTAAAAAATGTACCTATAAATAAGGAGTATATATATGTGTGCATATGTGTATATATACATATATAAACATGTACATATACCTCTATATGCACATACACACCACATTGGATTTTGTGGGAAATTTATCATTTTTGCTAATAAGAGAGCATCTTTCAATCCTTTTTTGAAACTGAAAAGTTTATGAAGGATTAACACTTCAGAGAGTATGTTTATTTGGAAAATATCCCCCGTTCTTGGAAATTTAAAGAACATATAAGAATATTGCCAATATTTAAAAGGTGAAAAGAAATTGGACTATAAGCTATGATTGGAAATTTTTTATGAGCACAAATTTGTTGATGGGCTAATAAGCATTTACATTTGCTGATCTTGTAGTTAGCTGCCTAATTACTCAATTTGTGCATGCAAATGAAATCGTTTGCGTGTAAATGCACGCAGGTGCAAATCTGTGTGAGTGGTACTAGGGCCTCCTTTGAAACTTGGTCATGATCCTTTATTTTTCCATACTTGAAAAATCAAATTTTCAAAAATAGTTCCCGAAACAAAATCCATATGGGCAAGATCATGTTAAAATCATGGCTGTTTCTAGGTCTTCTAAAGCTATTGTCTTGCAACTAAGGTTCCTAACTAATTAGTAATAGTTTGAAAAAATGGTCTTACATTTATTTGTCAATTTGAATTCTCAAGAGTTTGGGGGCTCTAAGAGACCCCAAATCAAAAACATAAAAATATGATTAAATGGCATGAGAAATCCAGTATGGTGGGAAGCAATTATATACATTTTCTCGATTTCTTAGAATTTTGCTGTTGTAGTATACTAACTTGTTAAGCTAGATATGACAAATCAGTCAGTGGTCACTGTTTTAGAAAAACTTAAAAGTAAATGTAAAGTATATACCATAGGATTTGGTACTTATAATAATATCTAACTATTGTATGGGACTTTGAAGCTTACAAAACACTTTTTTACGTAGATTATCGTGCTTGATCCTACAGCACTCCCATAAGCCTAACCCCCATTTTAGAATTGAGAAAACTAAAACTTAGCACAATAAAATTAATACTGTGATTTCACAAGGACTAAGTCACATAACAAGATTTTAAACCTTGCATACTCTGTTTTAAATTTTCAGCTTTTTCCACACCACTACATTCCTTTGACTCTGTTGTTTACTCTTGGTTTTGCATGCTAATTTCTGTGACCTTCTTCCCCTCATAACCTTATGTAATTCTTAATCTCAAAGAGCATAATTTATCCATTGGCATTTCTGCATGGTACTTAGCACAGTTTTGGACATAAAACTAGACAACCCCAAATATTTGTTGATTGTTTATGGCTAGGGTGGTAGAGATCTGGTGGTTAGGCAGCCAAGTTTAATTCATAAACGAACTTTGGTGAAGTTTTGTGTTGGCACTCAGCTCTTACCATTGACCTATGCTCCCACGGAACGCATGAAAAGACAGTGTGAAAATCCTGCCCCAGAGCTTGGTGAAGGAGAGCTAGCAGAGATGGCACAAGATATGTATTTTGGCAATGCAGAATATACTTACAAAATGATAAGGCACTTTCATTTCTGTGACAGATATCCAGGTATCATCTTGTTAATAAGACTGGCGTGTTTTTCTTTTCTTTTCCTTTAAGATTTTATTTATTTATTTGAGAGAGAGAGAGAGAGAGAGAGAGAGAGAGCACAAGCAGGGGCAGAAGCAGACTCCCCGCTGAGCAGGGAGCCAGATATGGGGCTCGATCCCAGAACCCTGGGATCATGACCTGAGCCGAAGGTAGACGCTTAACCAACTGAGCCACCCAGGCGCCCCTGGCGTGTTTTACAAAATAGAAATCATGGAAGTTACCACTGTAAAACTCCAGAGTAATCTCATACAGAACAGATTTTCATCCACAAAGGAACATTCGATTCTCCCATACGAACAGGGGCCTGACACATTTCCATTTCTCTACTCTAAAGAAATTCCTCATTCTTTGGAGATCAGCTCTAATAGTCCCACTACTTTTACCTCAACTTCTGATTTTCTTCTAATATTCAAGATTGAATAAATAGTTCAGGTTGTTTAAGAAAATATTTCCGGAGGGAATAAATATTCTCAGATCTTGCTATTAAAGCTATTTTCGTTGTACTCTGTGGATTTAAAGTCCAAGACTTTACCAAATGCCTCTGCAGGGTGCAGAATGAGGGAGCAGCGTGTAAAAACCTGGTTCCCTATTCCCAATGCAAGCATGCCGGCTGCCATGGGAGACACATTTTCCACCACAATTTCCATATCAGGATTTTATGAGAACATCTGTCTACAATTCTGGGCATTTTTGCTTAATCATTCAGGGGCCTGAGAGAGTTCCCACTGGAGGCACGTGACAGGGTAGGTTGGGGACAGGGTCCTGTCTTTAGGACCCTGGTGATTTCTCTCCTTAGCACATTTTAAGGCGGGGGTGGGGGGCCGGGGGCGGGGGGAGCTTGGCTCCACCTTATCCAATCTATTTGCCATTGAGCTTAGTTGGAGGGATTTATAGTGAGACAGTTTATTTATCTACCTGACACTAACACAATGTTATGCTAGGCAACTGCCAATAAAAAAAAAAAATAATAATGATAATGGCAGCAGGTATTGTGTTCTGATACTTGTTACACTCCAGACACTGTGGTAGGTACATATTATTTAATTCTCATAGCAGCCATAATACGGGTAGGAAAACATAAATTTAAAGGTTTAAATAACTTTTCAGACGAGGTCGGGCGCGTTCAGGGTGGCAGGACATACATGGTAGTGGGAGAATTGCACTCAGACCTGCCTGACTCTAAAGTCAAGGCTCTAACCACTAGGCAGTTGTGACCCTGAGTTTTGTAGAAAGCCTTCTCGGAGAGGAGGAAATATATTTATTTGGAAAAAAATAATTCTGCCTTCAATACCCAGTAGCCTTTTCTCTCCTGCGGGTACAGCCCAAAGAAATCCAGGAATTTGCAAAAGACAGAGGGGAAGCGTATGGTTACTTTTTGGACAATCGAGTAAGTAAAGCTCTCTTGGTCCCCGTGCCATAAATCCTTCCTCCTGTTTCACCTCCCACCTCATTCTAACATCTCAGCACCCCTTCCTCTATATTTCAACAGCCCCCAAGTTGCTGCCAGTCATAGCTCTATACGTGTTACTCCCCGTCCCCAGAGGGCACACCCATGTTCTTGACTGTGAGACCTACTACCGATTCTTCAAAGTCCTGTTCTGACCTCAGCTCCTCTGGGCAGTCTCCACTGATCACTCCAAGCAGGTGATAAGTGCCTCCTCTAGGACTCTTCTGTCTCTCGTATGCACACTTGTCATTGCATATATCCACACTGTGTGGTCACTCTTTCCTTCTTTATCTCTCACATCTCCCTAACTGTAAAATAAAATGCACAGGGGCTGCATTTCAGTTGTATTCATCTCTGTATCTCTGCTGCACACCCTGAAAATATAAGTGTTTAATGAATATGTATAGGGTTGATTTGAAAACTCTTCTATACTAAAGCCATAAGCTACTTGAATAGCATTTCAAGATGAATGAGGTTAATATCTTGATAGTAGTGCATTGTGCTTTTTTCATCTTCAGTTGTAAGTGTATTAAGGATGAAAGATGTGTTTGTACTACAGCAAATGTTTATGGAAGTAGCCCAGAAAGGAGGAATAAGATATCTA